AAAAATGAAGAAAAAATATGAAATAATAAGAAATAAATAATAAAAGCAAAAGTTGAAAATAAAATGATGAGCTAAATTAACAAAGAAAGAACAAAAAAAAAGCAAGCACAATAAAAAGAAAAAGAAAAAAGAGCTTTATTGTTTTTAATTAGTTTTTATAATTTAAAATATCACAATCCAAAACAAATAAACTGTTTTTACCCAAGGTCAAGTGTCAAATTTGAGAGATTAATGCAATTTGCTAAAGCAGAACCTAAGCCTGATGCACCAATTGCACCAATTTATATTCCAACTTTTTAAATATTGAAGAAAAAATATATCATTAAATAGTTAATTAAAGGAAAAAATGAAGAAAAAATATGAAATAATAAGAAATAAATAATAAAAGCAAAAGTTGAAAATAAAATGATGAGCTAAATTAACAAAGAAAAAACAAAAAAAAGCAAGCACAATAAAAAGAAAAAGAAAAAAGAGCTTTATTGTTTTTAATTAGTTTTTATAATTTAAAATATCACAATCCAAAACAAATAAACTGTTTTTACTAAAGGTCAAGTGTCAAATTTGAGAGATTAATGCAATTTGCTAAAGCAGAACCTAAGCCTGATGCACCTTCAGCACCAATTTAATTTCTACTTTTTAAATATTGAAGAAAAAATATATCATTAAATAGTTAATTAAAGGAAAAAATGAAGAAAAAATATGAAATAATAAGAAATAAATAATAAAAGCAAAAGTTGAAAATAAAATGATGAGCTAAATTAACAAAGAAAGAACAAAAAAAAAGCAAGCACAATAAAAAGAAAAAGAAAAAAGAGCTTTATTGTTTTTAATTAGTTTTTATAATTTAAAATATCACAATCCAAAACAAATAAACTGTTTTTACGAAAGTTAAGTGTCAAATTTGAGAGATTAATGCAATTTGCTAAAGCAGAACCTAAGCCTGATGCACCTTCATCACCAATTTAATTGTAACTTTTTAAATATTGAAGAAAAAATATATCATTAAATAGTTAATTAGAAGGAAAAAATAAAGAAAAAATATATCATCAAATAGAGTAAGTTACCATACAAATTTACAAAAAGCGAGTTTTATATAACAGTTTTTACATTTTATAAAATTTAGATTTTAAATATTTTTTATGAATTTTTTTCGATCATAGGTTACAAAATTTATTTTTTCAAAAAAAAAGAGATATGTTATGCTTTCTAAAAATTAGCTTTATTTATAATTTTATTAAGATATAAATTAGGAATTTTACTCTAGTTAATTAGGAAGAAAAAATGAAGAAAAAATATAAAATAATAAGATTAATTAAAAATTAATAAAATTAACAAAGAATGAAAAAATAAGAAATCATAAAAAAAGAAAAAGGAAAACAAATAAAATAAATTAAAAAAACTTTAATGTTTTAAATTAACTTTTGTAATTAAAAATATTACAATGTAAAACAAATAAATAGCTTTTATAAAGTGTAAATTTTAATAGCAAAAAATGAAGAAAAAATATCAAATAATAAAAAATGAATAATAAATAAATAATTAAAAATTTAAATTAAAATTAAGTTAAAATATAAAAAATTTTAGTTTTAATAAAAATCAATAAATAATGATGATAATTTCTTTTATAAAAATTATTTATTTAAATAAATTGAAATTTAAATATTTAAAAAATATTAATAATAATAAAATTAATTAATAAAATATACTAGAGATCAATATGGAGAACCTAATGAGATAAAAGTGAAGAGCTTTTAAACTTTTTTTATTGATTTATATAAATTTAAAGGATATTAATAAAAAAATTAATAATTACTTATTCTAAATTATAATATTTTTTAATCTATTATATCATTTATTTTTTTTCAAAAATATTGAATAGCAATTTATGAAATTTAATTAATTAATAATAAATGGTTAAAAAGAGCAAATAAATATAATGATTAATTAATTATCAAATATTAATTTATATATTTGGTTTTATGAAGAGATATCAAAGAAAAATTAATTTAGCATTCACTATTTAAACTTAATATTTGTATTTAAAACATGTACTTAAAAATATATATTGTAGGAATTAGAGATGGCAGTTATTTATTTAGTGATATATATAGCAAAATACCTTTCATATCCTTGGGTATTAAAAATATAAAAAAATAAAAATCTATTATAATTTAAAAATTTAATACCTGAAATAGCATATTTAAATTAAAAAATCATAAAACAAATATTTTATTATTATAATTAAAATAAAAGAATTTATTTAGTAATCTACTTTATAGCAAATCCAGAAATTAAATTGTTAGTTTTCCACATTTGATGGAATTTAATTAATAACTGGAAGTGCTATAAATAGAAAAATGAATTAATAACCTTAAATAGCTTTTTAATAAATTAATATGTGAAATCTAATTAGAAATATTTAATACAAATAAACATAAGAATGAATATATTGGTTGATATACATTTATAAATTCATTGCGTAGAATTATTTTTATGGTTTTCTTCTATATTTGAATCTTATTATTTGTTTTCTAACTCATTTTATTTGAGTAGATTTTTGTAAAACTAAATTGGCTTATTAATTTAAGCTTTAACAATGTTTTTTAATTTATTTTTCTGGAGACTTTTCTTTGTATTTTAATTTGATAGATTTGCCTAATTTTTTCTCATTAAAACATTAAATGACAGAATAACTCTTTCATAATTATTTTAAGGCATATAAAATTAGTAGCTTTTGAGTATGTCAAATAAAAAGTTTTCTTATTATGTATTTATGTTGTGAGGTATTTGAACTAATTCTTTTAATTATTTAATCAATGCCTCATTTGTATACTTCTGGTTTATATTGCTTAGTTATTTACTTAATATTAATGGATTTATTGATACTTTCTTGTTGAAAATTTCAGATTTTAATGTACTTTTTTTGATGTTTTCTTTTGAATTAATATATTCTTTATGTCTTTGCTGCTGATCACTTTAATTAGGTGATTTCGACTAACTCTTATATCTATTATAAAATTGATTATCGTATTGAGTATTCTAATAGCTTACTTAAGAGAAAGTATCTTAATTATTTATGTTTATCTACTTAGATGAATCAAAGCTTGCAAATTACTGCAATATATCATTAATGCAATAATTACTTGTCTATGGATTGTAGCATTAGATATTTTAGGAGGCTTAGGTGTTTTATGGATTATTTTGGTGGTAATAATTTGCACTATTAACATTCACAAGGATATTATTTTATGTGGACTTTGGAGATGTGCATTTTTCTGAATAATTAGATTACTGGCGCTATCTATTACTAGGAGTAAAAGAACAATCTCCTAAGTTTGACTAGTAATGATGAAATCCAATAGGATTATTGCCATAATTAATAACTTGTTAAGATTAGCACTATTAAACTTGTAATGATTTGTTATCGGTTTAATTGTCATCATTACTATTTTCCTACAAGGAGTTGATAGAAAACTGTACTTTTTTGTTAAAATTAAAGGCTTGTAAACTTTAAGAGAATTCATCATTATAGCCTGAAAAGGCATGCTAAAAATTGTTATTAGATCTTGGTTAAATGTGAGCACTTGATTTATCAAACGGGTGTAATTCAATATAAGTATTCATATTTTGGCTTTCCTAAATATTCGAGATTGTGTTCTTGACTTTCTAATATTGAAATTTTATATTGGACAATTACTTTTAAAGGGTTTGATTTGTCTTTGTTTTCTAAAAGTAATACTGATTTTGCAGCTAATTGATATTTTTTAAACTAGTTCGACTAGGATTTCCATAGCTATTTTTGAATTAGGCCAATTAATTCTGATATTCTTGCTAAACAAGATCATTAAACCATCCTTTAGTACATAATTCCTCAATATTCTCTTCAACGTATTGTCTAGCACTCTCATCAATTTAATCTTTTATTTATAAGCTATCATAAGAGTAGCCTCTTCTTTAAATATCTTTGTCTCTTCCTTAGAAATCATTTTTAACATACTCCTTTATTATCTAAAAAACATTCAATTACAAAACTAATATTTCTCCTTAAATATTTCATTTATTAATTAAATATTAATTTTTATATTTTTTTATGATTGTTTTTTAGTTTAAAATAAATTCATTTATTTTTTTATAAATGAATCTAAAATATTTTTAAAATTCCAAGCTGAAATGATTTTTTAAATTTTTTATGATTTAAAATTAAACAGTTTTGAAATAAATTTATTTTATTAATTTTATTATTTAGATTGAAATAATTATTAAATTACTTTGTATTTATCTTGTTAGAGATGAATAAAACTGCATTAAGTAACTAAATGATTACTGGATTTGCAACAGTAGCAGAAGATGCCTACCATGTCTAATTTATTGTTAATTAGTATTGAGTCTTTAATCATACAAAATCTTTCTAAATCTAAGGGCGAGCTTTAGACTAGTTCGAAAAAGCTGCTTCTTTTGATAGCTAAGAGTTTGGTGAATTCAATGCTTCTAACTGATAATTAACTTGTTTGACCAGTAAAGAATTAAATTTCACCAAATTAATTTCCTTTGTGGAGTAGCTTGAGTCCTTCGTTATTGTTGCTGTTGTAAACTTCTACGCTCCCTTTTTCAATAAAATAAATAGAATTGTCGTTTTCTACATCTTAGACTATAATTTTTTGACCAGGTCTGAATTCTCTCTACTCAATAATCTTTATAGTCTTTTATATTATCTATTCACTGAAATTCATTCTATTTATTATTTTAATATAAATCAGTTTGTTTTTTGAAACACCTAAAAAATGAATTTAATTTCTCCCCAATTTTGAGAAAATAATTTGAAAAGAAGTTAAATTAATTAATAAGTTAAGTAAAAAAGTGATGTTTACTTGAATAGATTTGAATTTTCGAATATTATTTTGTTTGCCTCCAGCATTATTTAGTTTTGGAGGGAATCTGGGAGTAAAGAGATGACTTTTTACTATTTCTGGATGTCTTCTTGGTTTGATTAGATAAAAAAATATTGCAAATACTCACGCACTTAAACCTATAGATCTGTTGATATATTCTTTTTATACATGAAACCATAAATGGCATTAAAATGCTCATCATATTCTTTGTTATTGATGTCCATTTCTGATAAAATCTATCCTATTGAATTTAAGCTGTATCCAAACATTCCGCAAGCTATAAGCATGGTTAAAATAGAAAGCAAATACTCTTGGCTATTAACTGGAATTATGTCACCGTACCCCACAGTAATCATCGTTACAGTTGAAAAGTAATACGCTCTCAAATATTACTCATAGAATGTAAGGTTTTAAGCTCCACTCAACTTATCTAGCCAAGTGTAAGTACAATTCTTATAATTATTATAAGCATTTTATTAAGCGCATAAAATTGAGTCTTCAGTTTAATTAATTTTACCAACTATCAGCCAAATGCAAGCAAATAAATGGGTAACTATGAATAAATTGAAGAATATTTGCATCAAACTGATAAATCCTCTGTTTATCTTTCTCAAATAAAACCTATCGTAAATTCTGTTCTTAAAAGAGTTTTGTCTAAAAACTTTAAACAGCGCAACGGCAAAAAACATGATACTGAACCTATAATTTTAAATTAATTAAATCTAGATTCTTTGAGAGGCTACTACAATCCACAAAATTGTAACGAAAAGCATGTTAAGAATACCATTCTTTGAGAAATACTCGAGCAAGATAAGACTTCTTGAATGTAGAAGATTTCCCTTCCTATATTAAACTGTATTCAAATTGACAAAGACATCTAAAGTAGCAATAATAACAAGCATAATATCAAGATTTTGAAGGTAAAAAACAGTACTAAATTGAATTCCATATATAAAATAAAGAGGCAAATAAAAGAAGAAGACAATCACAATAATCATATTAAAAATATCCCATACAAATTTCCAGATAGATTGAGGTAGAAATAAAGGAATAGTAGGAATTCTATGCAACAATCTTTTAGCGAAGAATATTGACTAAGTTTACTAAAAAATTAGAAGAATAAACTTTTAAAAGCGATTATAATCATAAAACTCGAAGTCCTCTTTCTCTTGTTTGTTATAGTTTATTGTTTTGTCTCTTAAATAAAAGAACTTCTATCTTTGCAGTATAGCCAGCTTTTTAGATTATATGTTTGAAGCCATTTTATACGCGTAACTTTTCATTTTCATTATGATGTGGATAAAATTTGTCTTCTTTTGCTTTTTAGGCATTTCTGTGAATTTTCTTGATTATTTTTTTCTATTCTCATTTTAAAAAGTTGCCTAACTTTACTTCTACTTTTAGTTTGAGTTTTCCATACCTATTCCACTAAATTATGACTCGTTTTATTTATTTTACTTGAAAGTTCTACCTTTAGCATTGAATAATTTAAGTGGTGTCTAATCTTGATTATTGTCTAACTTATCATTAATCGAAATAGAAGGCTCTCTCACTTATTGGTCTTCCTGCTTTATTTTTGCTTTTGAAGAAATCTAATTGCTTTGTATATCACTACCACCAGATAACTATTAATTCTTTTTTTATTGTCCAAGAATGTCTGATTATTCGTTGTTCTTTTTTCTATTTCGAAATGTTGGACTCAAATTTTAATTTAAGCAACTGCTATTTAAATCCTAAATTGAAGAAACCATGCTTTTATTGTCTGGATTATCTTGAAAAATAGGCTATTAATTTACATTCTAAATAGAAGAAGTCATAGAATTTTAAAGCTGCTTTTTATCTTTAGCAGAAATATTGAAATTGTCATTTTATACATAATTTATATCAATCTTACTTTAAATAAATTCGAGTTAGCTATCTTCATTATTGCATTAAAGTCTCTTCTTACTATCTATTATTTGACCTATATTGCCAATTTTAATGCTTAAATTATTATCCTAAAATATCTTTGAGCTTAATTCCTAAAAAGACGATTGCATTCTATTTAGTGAGGCTCCTTTTGTACCAAATTCATCTTCTGTTAAAGTTTTTTCTTTCATTCGTTAGTGAAAAATCTCGATCATTTCATCATGCTATTTTTATGTCTTTTCAAAGTTTAGTTTTTAAATGTTTAGCTTCATCTTATTTAATATTATCAAGTAATATATATATATATATATATATATATGTATGCCAATAATTTATCTATCTATCTATCTATCTATCTATCTATCTATCTATCTATCTATCTATCTATCTATCTATCTATCTATCTATCTATCTATCTATCTATCTATCTATCTATCTATCTATCTATCAATCAATTAAACAATAAATCAATCAATTTGTTTTTAATTACTTGTTTTAATTTGATTTAGGTTAAGTATTAACCATAATTTACTACTTAAAAGGTAATTAAAGATAGAAAGGCTAGTAATTATATCATCAAAATAATCAATCTTTTGTAGAAAAGCTCTAAATAAATCAATACTATTTTTAGAAATTCCTCTTTCATAACTTGATAAGCAGCTTACGTTTCAATATTTTTTGCATTAAATTCAAATATTTTTATTATTCGGACAAATAGTTTAAATTAAAATTTAATAAAATTCATTAATAAACATTTTAAATAAATTCTAATAACTATAAAAGACAAGAAGATTATTTTTTAATATTTAAATTCACTTAAATTTTTATTTAATTTTATTTTTTTTAAATTTCTTTAGTTTTTAAAAATAATTTTTTTAGAAATAACTTAGATATTTTTCTACCTATTTTATTTATTTGCCTAATTTGGAAAGAAGAATATTGTTTTTTCATTATTAATTGTTTAATTAAACAATTTTTTAAGTCTATTTACTTTTTAATTGTGTTTAAAAACCTTTCTGAATTTATAATATTATTTTAAACAAGAATAAATCACAAAGTAAAAAAAATATTTTTAGGTGTAAATAAATATTTTTGCTTTATAAGAAAAAAAGCAAATAATTATTTTATAAAAAATAAATCAAAAATTAATTTAAAGAGAAAAAAATTAATTTTAATAATTAATTTTTAGTTTTAATTTATTATTCTTTTAATATTAATAATCTATTATTTATTTATACTGCTAAATTTCCATTCCTTATTAATTCTTTTAAGAAATGGACAAGAAAAATTTAAACAAACAGGGCTCTTAACAAATGAATGAATTTTGAGTATGGGGAAATTTTAATTATTCAGGATTCAAGGTAATTAATTTAATAGCTCATATTAATAAATAGTGAAGCTTAAATTGACAAAAATATTGATATGAATATTTGAAAATATTGAAAAAACAAAAATTGTTATGATTATTTATATCGCCACAAAAAATGTAGTTAATTTTATTAAAACAAAGAGTTGAAAAATTGGTATCCATAATATAAATAAGAAATTATAAATTGATAAATAGATTATTTAATATTAAAAACAAATATTTTTAAAAGCAAGAATGAACGCATATTTACTCCTATAAAATTAGTTATGATATTAATTTAGTGGCTTAACTTTAAAAATAATAATTGATAAATGAGTTGAAATATTAATTAGATTTGAAAAAGAATACTTTGAATTCAATAATGAATATCTATCTAACTATTTTAATTAAAATTCATTAATTGAATATCACTTGAAAAATAACAAAATTCATATATAAAAAAGGTATTTAGATAAATATTAAAAATGAACAGCAATAATAACTATTAGCAGCTCAATTCTGAGCCAAATTAATTCTCTTAAGGATAAAATACACCAACAATATAAGCATAACCTCAACAGCCATAATTAATTTCATAGTTGCCTGATTTTTCAAATTATCCGCCACCCTCTTATGATAACTTTAATAATCAGATGCCTTAATAAAAATATTCTCCCCCTCCTCCTCCTCCTCTTTAAAGTTACGCTCCAAATCAAGCATAAAACTATCAAGCTCTTCCTTCCTAAAATTGTTATTAGCCTCCATTAACTACAAATTACCCATCCCCAGCTTAAAATTACTACCCACCTCCACCTTAAAATGGTCCTTATCATATTCCTTACTAAACAAATTAACTTTAACCATAGCAATATACTCCTATGTATTAGAATTAGGTAATGTTATAAAATGGCGATAATTTAAATCCTTATTAATTTTGCCCATAATGTAATTAAGTAAGACCAACAATAAAGTCTGGCTAGGCTGGTACTGGAGCAGTCATTTGTGCTTGTTTACTTTGTATTTTTTGTGGAGTATTTGGACTTTTTGCTTGTTGCTGTGAATAATGCTAAGATAAAGAATACAGTTGTTATGTTTGTCGTACAGTTTTAAAAATTGAACCTTACTAACCATGTGGTTGATAAATGTTAGAATAATTTATTTTTTAATAAAATATTTCTAAATTCATATTTTGTTCATTAAGTATTTATATTCATTATTGTATTATATTAGATAACTTATTTACTTTCTAAAAATATCTTTTTTAATAAAAATCAAAGAAAGAAAGTTATTAAGTAAGTAGACCTTTCTCTAAAATTTAATTAAATTCAAAGAATATTTGTATATTAGTTTGATGATAAATTATTTAATAGGAAGATAAAGAATTTGATAAATAATATTTTTATGTTTCACAATCATATTCATATTTTTATTAACATATGGATTTCTTTCGATTTTTAGAATTTTAAATTCATTATTCTTATCTATTAAAAATTCGTTTAACGCAAAGAAAAGAAATTAATTTTAATAATTATATAATCATGTACTATCTCTAACTATCTATCTATCTTTTCTTTTAATATCATAAAATTCATTTTTTCAACATAAAACTAAAAAATTTATTAATAATTTATAAAAAAAGGCGAATAGTTAGTTATTACTATTATTATAAAATTTACAATCGAATATTGAAGAGTTTTTATTTATTTTTTTTTATAGGTGTGAATTTTTTGTCAAAGGTTATCAATAATAAGATATTTTTGAAAAAAAGAAGATTCTATTCTATTTATTAAAAAGTTATTTAAGTAAGTATAAATGCACTTATTTGGTGGGTGAATACAATATATAATATACCTAAATAGCATGTGTTTGTAAAAAAATTAAGCGGATTACAAAGTAACTAATGATATTATTAATATTCTTATTATTAATTACTGAGCTAAAATATAAAAATCTGATCAAAAAAATTATTTTTATCATATTTAAGAACGTTAATTAATTTCTATCATTTTTTCAAATATGACTAACTAACCTACTAACTAACTAACTAACTAACTAACTAACTAACTAACTAACTAACTAACTAACTAACTAACTAACTAACTAACTAACTAACTAACTAACTAACTAACTAACTAACTAACTAACTAACTAACTAACAAACTAACTAACTAACTAACTAACTAACTAACTAACTAACTAACTAACTAACTAACTAACTAACTAACTAACTAACTAACTAACTAACTAACTAACTAACTAACTAACTAACTAACTAACTAACTAACTAACTAACTAACTAACTAACTAACTAACTAACTAACTAACTAACTAACTAACTAACTAACTAACTAACTAACTAACTAACTAACTAACTAACTAACTAACTAACTAACTAACTAACTAACTAACTAACTAACTAACTAACTAACTAACTAACTATCGATCTCTTATTTCTACTTTACTTTTAAGTTTATATTTTAAATATAATTAATTATTAAAATTAAATAATGTATGTTAAATTAATTTTTCTGTGATATCTCTTGATAAAAGCAAATTTATAAATTAATATTTGATATTATATTTTATTTGTACTTTTTATCTATTTATAATTAATTAAATTCCATAAATTTCTTTTCAATATTTTTGAAAAAAAAATAAATGATATAATAGATTTAAAAATATCACGAATTAGAAGAAGTAATTATTTATTTATTTATTAATATCTTTTAAATATATATTTATTAATAAAAAAAGTTTATTAGCTCTTCGCTTTTATCTCACTAGGTTCTCCATATTAATCTGAGGTATATTTAATTAAAAATATTATTTTTATTATTATTAATATTTTTTATATATTTAATCATTATTCATTGATTTTTATTAAAAAAAAATTGTTTAGCTACTTTAACTTAATTTTCATTCCTATTTTTAATTAATTGATATATTTTTTTCATTTTTTCCCATTAACATTTATACTTGATAAAATGAGTTTATTTGTTTTTGAGTGTAATATTTTTTATTATAAAAATTAAATAAACACTTACAGGCCTTTTGATTTATTTTCCTATCCTTTTTATTGAACTTGTTTTTTTGGCTCTTTCTCTGTTAACTTAACCCATAATTCTATTTTCAGCTTTTGTTATTATTATTTCATATTTTTACTTCATTTTTTCCTTCAAATTTACTATTTAATTATATTTTTTTTCTTCAATATTTAAAAAGTGGAGATTAAATTGGTGATGAAGGTGCATCGAGCTTAGGTTCTGGTTTAGCAAAGTGCATTAATCTCTCAAATTTGACACTTAGCATTTAGTAAAAACAGTTTATTTGTTATGGATTGTGATATTTTTAATTATAAAAACTAATTTAAAACAATAAAAGCTCATTTTTCTTTTTCTTTTTATTGTGCATGCTTTTTTTTTTCTATATTTCTTTGATAATTTAACTCATCATTTAATTTTCAACTTTTGCTTTTATTATTAATTAATTAATCTTATTATTTCATATTTTTTCTTCATTTTTTCCTTCTAATTAACTATTTAATTATACATTTTTTCTTCAATATTTAAAAAGTAAAAATTAAATTGGTGATGGAATGGAATGGAATTTACTCGCACATGAAACATGCACTCAGAAAACATCTTAAAAATAATTTTTTTATTTATTCATTTATTTATTTATTTTTTTTATATTATTTTTATTTTATTTTTTTTTTTATATTTATTTTTATAAATATTTTTTTATATTTATTTTACTTATATTTTACGATTTAGTCAACCCATAATATATTTTTATTATAGGTTTTTGACTATATAAGGCTTCTCATTATAATTATTATTGTAGGGAAAGATAATGGTAGATATAAAGGGGGCCTTTAGATATTTCACGCTGCCAATTACGGTAGTTAGACGTTGAAATAATCTAAATATATATTGCCCTCCGCCATTAATATGCGGGCTGAAACAAAGTCTCTCAAATTTGACACTTGATCTTAGGTAAAAACAGTTTATTTATTTTGGATTGTGATAATTTTAATTATAAAAACTAATTTAAAACAATAAAAGCTCATTTTTATTTTTATTTTTATTGTGCATGCTTTTTTATCTTCTTTCTTTCTTTGTTAATTTAACTCATCATTTTATTTTCAACTTTTGTTTTTATTATTAATTAATTAATCTTATTATTTCATATTTTTTCTTCATTTTTTCCTTCTAATTAACTATTTAATGATATATTTTTTCTTCAATATTTAAAAAGTGGAGATTAAATTGGTGATGAAGGTGCATCAGGCTTAGGTACTGGTTTAGCAAAGTGCATTAATCTCTCAAATTTGACACTTAGCATTTAGTAAAAACAGTTTTGTTTTGGATTGTGATATTTTTAATTATAAAAACAATTTAAAACAATAAAAGCTCATTTTTCTTTTTCTTTTTATTGTGCATGCTTTTTTATCTTCTTTCTTTCTTTGTTAATTTAACTCATCATTTTATTTTCAACTTTTACTTTTATTAATTAATTAATTAATCTTATTATTTCATATTTTTTCTTTATTTTTTCCTTCTAATTTACTATTTAATGATATTTTTTTTCTTCAATATTTAAAAAGTAAAAATTAAATTGGTGATGTAGGTGCATCAGGCTTAGGTTCTGGTTTAGCAAAGTGCATTAATCTCTCAAATTTGGCACTTGATCTTAGGTAAAAACAGTTTATTTATTTTGGATTGTGATAATTTTAATTATAAAACTAATTTAAAACAATAAAAGCTCATTTTTATTTTTATTTTTATTGTGCATGCTTTTTTATCTTCTTTCTTTCTTTGTTAATTTAACTCATCATTTTATTTTCAACTTTTACTTTTATTAATTAATTAATTAATCTTATTATTTCATATTTTTTCTTCATTTTTTCTTCTAATTTACTATTTAATAATATATTTTTTCTTCAATATTTAAAAAGTTATAATTAAATTGGTGATACATACATACATACATACATACATACATACATACATACATACATACATACATACATACATACATACATACTTAGTTTCTGGTTTAGCAAAGTGCATTAATATCTCAAATTTGACACTTTATTTTTGGTAAAAACAGTTTATTTATTTTGGATTGTGATATTTTTAATTATAAAAACTAATTTAAAACAATAAAAGCTCATTTTTCTTTTTCTTTTTATTGTGCATGCTTTTTTATCTTCTTTCTTTCTTTCTTTCTTTCTTTGTTAATTTAACTCATCATTTTATTTTCAACTTTTACTTTTATTAATTAATCTTATTATTTCATATTTTTTCTTCATTTTAACCTTCTTATTTACTATTTAATGATATTTTTTTTCTTCAATATTTAAAAAGTGAAAATTAAATTGGTGATGAAGGTGCATCAGGCTTAGGTTCTGGTTTAGCAAAGTGCATTAATCTCTCAAATTTGACACTTAGCATTTAGTAAAAACAGTTTATTTGTTTTGGATTGTGATATTTTTAATTATAAAAACTAATTTAAAACAATAAAAGCTCATTTTTATTTTTCTTATTATTATGCATGCTTTTTTATCTTCTTTCTTTCTTTCTTTCTTTGTTAATTTAACTCATCATTTTATTTTCAACTTTTGCTTTTATTATTAATTAATTAATCTTATTATTTCATATTTTTTCTTCATTTTTTCCTTCTAATTAAGTATTTTATTATATTTTTTTTTCTTCAATATTTAAAAAGTAAAAATTAAATTGGTGCAATGGGTGCATCAGACTTAGGTTCTGCTTTAGGAAATTGCATTAATCTCTCAAATTTGACACTTGATCTTAGGTAAAAACAGTTTATTTATTTTGGATTGTGATAATTTTAATTATAAAACTAATTTAAAACAATAAAAGCTTATTTTTTTTTTCTTTTTATTGTGCATGCTTTTTTGTCTTCTTTCTTTCTTTCTTTCTTTCTTTGTTAATTTAACTCATAATTTTATTTTCAACTTTACTTTTATTAATTAATTAATCTTATTATTTCATATTTTTTCTTCATTTTTTCCTTCTAATTAAGTATTTTATTATATTTTTTTTTCTTCAATATTTAAAAAGTGAAAATTAAATTGGTGATGAAGGTGCATCAGGCTTAGGTTCTGGTTTAGCAAAGTGCATTAATCTCTCAAATTTGACACTTAATCTTTCGTAGAAATAGTTTATTTATTTTGGATTGTGATAGTTTTAATTATAAAACTAATTTAAAACAATAAAAGCTCATTTTTATTTTTCTTATTATTGTGCATGCTTTTTTATCTTCTTTCTTTCTTTCTTTGTTAATTTAACTCATCATTTTATTTTCACTTTTACTTTTATTAATTAATTAATTAATCTTATTATTTCATATTTTTTCTTCATTTTTTCCTTCTAATTTACGATTTAATTTTTAATTTTTCTTCAATATATTTAAAAAGTTACAATAAGATTTGTGACTAAGGAGCATCAAGCTTAGGTTCTTGTTTAGCAAAGTGCATTAATATCTCAAATTTGACACTTTATCTTTGGTAAAAACAGTTTAATTATTTTCGATTGTGATAGTTTTAATTATAAAAACTAATTAAAAACAATAAAAGCTCATTTTTCTTTTTCTTTTTATTGTGCATGCTTTTTTATCTTCTTTCTTTCTTTCTTTCTTTCTTTGTTAATTTAACTCATCATTTTATTTTCAACTTTTGCTTTTATTATTAATTAATTAATTTTATTATTTCATATTTTTTCTTTATTTTTTCCTTCTAATTAACTATTTAATGATATATTTTTTCTTCAATATTTAAAAAGTGACAAATAAATTGGTGCAATAGGAGCATAAGGTTTAGGTTTTGGTTTAGCAAAGTGCATTAATCTCTCAAATTTGAAACTTTTTCTTTAGTAAAAACAGTTTATTTGTTTTGGATTGTGATATTTTTAATTATAAAAACTAATTTAAAACAATAAAAGCTCATTTTTCTTTTTCTTTTTATTGTGCATGCTTTTTTATCTTCTTTCTTTCTTTCTTTCTTTCTTTCTTTGTTAATTTAACTCATCATTTTATTTTCAACTTTTACTTTTATTAATTAATTAATTAATCTTATTATTTCATATTTTTTCTTCATTTTTTCCTTCTAATTAACTATTTGATGATATATTTTTTCTTCAATATTTAAAAAGTAAAAATTAAATTGGTGATACATACATACATACATACATACATACATACATACATACTCGCACATGGTTACATGCACTCGGGATAGGGGCCCTATATATAATTACTTATACATTATTATTATACGTATACCAATTTATTTATATATAATTGTGGGTAATATACTAGAAGGGAAGGGTCACCTACACCCTAATGGCATTTCTACTAATCTTCCATGATTTGACTACGCATTATGCTCGCTTCCCATTTGTATTCCAGATCTTCTGTTCAGAATGGGGCCTCCTCTTTACCTCCTATCAGATTTGGCCCTTCCCTCCTACCAAGGAGACCGCTGGTAACATTCACATTTTTACATGGAATTTTTCGAAATAAAGGGGGCGGTATAGGATTCGAACCCCCGATATCACTGCTAAGACCCTCCGACTCGCCCACTCGAGTCGCTTAGCCCTTCTTTTAAATTGGTGATGAAGGTGCATCAGGCTTAGGTTCTGCTTTAGCAAAGTGCATTAATCTCTCAAATTTGACACTTAGCATTTAGTAAAAACAGTTTATTTATTTTGGATTGTGATAGTTTTAATTATAAAATTAATTTAAAACAATAAAAGCTAATTTTTCTTTTTCTTTTTATTGTGTATGCTTTTTTATCTTCTTTCTTTCTTTCTTTCTTTCTTTGTTAATTTAACTCATCATTTTATTTTCAACTTTTGCTTTTATTATTTATTAATCTTATTATTTCATATTTTTTCTACATTTTTTCCTTCTAATTAAGTATTTTATTGTTTTTTTTTTCTTCAATATTTAAAAAGTAAAAATTAAATTGGCGCAATAGGTGCATCAGGTTTAGTTTCTGGTTTAGCAAAGTGCATTAATCTCTCAAATTTAACACTTGATCTTAGGTAAAAACAGTTTATTTATTTTGGATAGTGAAAATATTAATTATAAAAACTAATTTAAAACAATAAAAGCTCATTTTTATTTTTCTTTTTATTGTGCATGCTTTTTTATCTTCTTTCTTTCTTTCTTTGTTAATTTAACTCATGATTTTATTTTCAACTTTTGTTTTTATTATTAATTAATCTTATTATCTCATAATTTTTTCTTCATTTTTTCCTTCTAATTTATTATTTAATGATATATTTTTTCTTCAATATTTAAAAAGTGAAAATTAAATTGGTGATGAAGGTGCATCAGGCTTAGGTTCTGGTTTAGCAAAGTGCATTAATCTCTCAAATTTGAAACTTTTTCTTTAGTAAAAACAGTTTATTTGTTTTGGATTGTGATATTTTTAATTATAAAAACTAATTTAAAACAATAAAAGCTCATTTTTCTTTTTATTTTTATTGTGCATGCTTTTTTATCTTCTTTCTTTCTTTCTTTCTTTGTTAATTTAACTCATCATTTTATTTTCAACTTTTGCTTTTATTATTAATTAATTAATCTTATTATTTCATATTTTTTCTTCATTTTTTCCTTCTAATTTACTATTTAATGATATATTTTTTCTTCAATATTTAAAAAGGTTCAATTAAATTGCTGCAATAGGAGCAACAGGCTTAGGTTTTGGTTTAGCAAAGTGCATTAATCTCTCAAATTTGACACTTAGCATTTAGTAAAAACAGTTTATTTGTTTTGGATTGTGGTATTTTTAATTATAAAAACTAATTTAAAACAATAAAAGCTCATTTTTCTTTTTCTTTTTATTGTGCATGCTTTATTATCTTCTTTCTTTCTTTGTTAATTTAACTCACCATTTTATTTTCAACTTTTGCTTTTATTATTAATTAATCTTATTATTTCATATTTTTTCTTCATTTCTTCCTTCTAATTAACTATTTAATGATATATTTTTTCTTCAATATTTAAAAAGGTTCAATTAAATTGCTGCAATAGGAGCAACAGGCTTAGGTTTTGGTTTAGCAAAGTGCATTAATCTCTCAAATTTGACACTTAGCATTTAGTAAAAACAGTTTATTTGTTTTGGATTGTGATATTTTTAATTATAAAAACTAATTTAAAACTATAAAAGCTCATTTTTCTTTTTCTTTTTATTGTGTATGCTTTTTTATCTTCTTTCTTTCTTTGTTAATTTAACTCACCATTTTATTTTCAACTTTTGCTTTTATTATTAATTAATTAATCTTATTATTTCATATTTTTTCTTCATTTCTTCCTTCTAATTAACTATTTAATGATATATTTTTTCTTCAATATTTAAAAAGTGACAATTAAATTGGTGATGAAGGTGCATCAGGCTTAGGTTCTGCTTTAGCAAAGTGCATTAATCTCACAAATTTGACACTTAGCCTTAGGTAAAAACAGTTTATTTATTTTGGATTGTGATATTTTTAACTATAAAAAAGAATATTAAACTAAAAAGTTCCTTTAATTTATTTAATATCTTTTATTTGATTTATTATTTTATCTTTTTTATTTCACTAATATTATTTTATTTATTTATTAATTTAAGAAATAATTTTTAATTAAAAAGTTTATTTTTTTTTTTATTTTTTTCAAATTTACACAAATTTATTATAAAAGACAAAACTCAATGAATCTTAGCTCAATTAAAGGAATAAGTAAGTTTCTTAAATCAAAAAGATTAGTTGTCTATAAAAAATATTTTTTATGATAAACAAGAGGCTAAAAAAGGATGAATATATATTAAATACTTGAATAATAGATTATTATTATATGTTTTACTATTTAATATTTTGAAAAAGTTTTTATAACCTATAATATAGATACATAGATAGATAGATTTTATTATTGTTTTATATTTATACATATTCATTCATATTTTTGTAAGTTAGTAAATAGTTTATAAATAATAAAAAAATGATCAAATCATTTGAAATTTAAGTGTTATATTAAATCTTATTAAATAATATAAATGCCAAGTTTTTATATTACAGTTTGATTTTAATTTTAAAATGTGTTTATTAACTTTATTAAGGAATTTGAGGGGTTAAAAATTTAGGGAGAAATCAAATTGTACTTTTTATTTTAAATTCAAATATAAAGAAAATAATTAAGGCTTATAATAAAAAAATGTTCATACATAATTAATATAATAATCATTAGACATATCGCAAATTATGATATCATTAATGGTTTTTTGGTGATATTTTAAATGCTGGAACAACTATCTATATATGCTACAAAAGGGAAAACAAACAATTAGCTTATAAAAATAATGATTATTTTAACTATTAATTATACAAAATAAATTTTAGATAATTTTAATTCACTTTAATTTAAATTCACCTTAATTTATTTAGGATAGGGAATTTAAATAGAATTCATAAACGCCTTCCTTCCTTCATTCATTAAATTAATAAATTTTTCATGAAATTAACAAAATAAATATTAATATATTTTACAAAAATTTACATAATAATAATTATAATGTCTGTTAGAGCTCACTACACAAAATATATCTCAACTAGTTTTATTATTATTCTTTTATTCTTCGTTAAGAAATTCTGAATTTTTTTCGAATTAACTTTAAATGAGCAAATTTTAATAATTTTGGGTTGACTTTTTAGAATTATCACTAAAATTTTGTATTTAAGATTTAAGATTGTTTTAAGTATCTTCATTTTTATTAATACTTTTCTTTGTTTTATACATTTGTAAAATCTTTTTATTTTTTCTCATAAATACAGAGTAAAGTAACAAAACTCTTTCAGAATTATTATGGGGCAAATAAATTGAGTAATTTTTTAGTGTATCAAATTAAAAGTCTTGATGCGCAGTTAAATTATGAGGTGTCTAAACTAATTCTTTTAATTGTTTAATTAGAGCATCATCAGTTTATCTCTAGAATATAATACTACTTTATTATTTACTAATTTAATGATAATTTTTTCTCTTATTAATATATTCAGTTTTCAGAGTGTTTTTCTTGATATTACTTCTTTGATTAATTAACTCTTACTATTTTTATGTACTTTAGTTGCTAGGTGTTTGATTGATTAATTTGAGACTCTAATTATTACCATCATTAAAATCTTTTTTACTTTATTAAGAGTAAGTATCTTAATTCTATGACTCTATATTAGCTAATTGATTTGTCACTTCAGGCATATTATAATTAACTTATTATGTGCATTAAAATAAACAGTTATTTCCAGGATAGTTGTTTGAATTACTTTATCCATTATTTTGATATTGTTAATGATAACAATTTGTATTGTTTAAATTAACTTAAAAATTTTTATTTGCTGAATAAGGAGAAGGACACATATCTGTAAAGTTACAAAACTAGCGTTGCCTATTACATGGTGATTTAAGATTATTGAATTCAGGTGAATTTATTTAGTGTTAGTGAAAATTATTTTATTATTTTATAAATTACTAAAACTAACACTATTAATTATATAAAGATTTGCAATCTCCTTAACTCTCTTCCTAGATGTTATCTTGTAAGGAATTTATAGAAAATTGTACTTTCTTGTTTATATTATAAGGTGTTAGAGGACTCTAGCAATTTTCTTCATTATAAAGTTAAAAAGCATTTTAAAAGTTTTATTAAATGTGAGCTATCGATGGATTAAGTTCAGGATGTGAGCTTAAATTTTATATTTCAATCATATTTTTTAATTTTTAATATGATATTTTTTTATTTGTAAATTAATTTTATATATTCTAAATTGTTTTAATAACTTAAGCATCCTAAATATTTTGATTTTAGTTTATAAATTTTAAACTAGGATAACTTTGATATCTTATATTTTGATTGAATTAGACTAAATTATCTTAAAATTCTTGCTAAATAAGATCATTAAACCACCCATAGCAACATAAATCTTCTATATTCTCTTCAACAAATATTTTAGCATTCTCTTCAATTTGCTATTTTATTTAAAGAGTATCATATGAGTAATTTCTTCTTTAAATATCTTTGTCTCTAACTTGAATATTATTTTTAGCATAATCTTTAACTATCTTTAATAAAAAACAAACATGATTATTTCAATTTTAATTAATTTATTTAATTAAATTACTTTATATTTATCTTGCTATAAGTGAATAAAATTGCACTAAGTAACTAAATGACTACTAGATTTGCAGCAATAGCAAAATACACCAATCATATCTAGTTTTTTATTAAAAATAATTGAATCTTTAATCATGCAAAATTTTTCTAAATCTAAGGGAGAACTCTAAATTATCTCTAAAAAGCTATTTCTCTTTATAACCAATAATTTTGTGAACTCAACACTTCTAGCTGAAACTTAACTTGCCTGCCCAGTGAAAAACTAAACTTCTCCAAATTGTTATCCTTTATGTAGAAGTTTTAATTCTTCGTTATTATTGCTATTATATATTTCTACACATCCTTTTTCGATAAAATAAATACAATTCTCACTTTCTGCATCTTACTCAATAAACTTTTATCCAGGTATGAACTCTCTTTGTTCAATGATTTATATTGTTTTTTAAATTGTTTGTTCACTAAAATTTGTCCTATTTTTTCAAATATTAAATAAAATAAATTTATTATGATCAATTAATACTTTTATTTGATTTATTATTTTTATTTTAAATATTAAATAAATTATAGAGTTATTGCCTTTTTAATTTTTGATAGGCTCTATATCTATACTAATGAATGTTTATTTAATTAAAGAAATTTAGACAAATTTATCTTAAGTAAAAATTAAAAAAATATTGATTGAAATTTAACCCAGGGATATAATTTAAAGTCAGAATATATTTTAAAATAAATAAATAAAATTAATTACCTGAAAAGAGGAGAGTTTTCAAATATAATTTTATTAGCATCTAAAAGTATTTAGTTTTAAAGAGTATCTGGTAATAATTAAATGACTTTCTGTTATTTTTTAATATCTTCTTAGTTAGATTGAATAAAGAAGTATTGTAAATATTCTCTCACTTGGACTTGCAAATCGGGAGAAATATTTTTTTTATGCATAAATCCATAAATCGCGTTAAAATGCTCGTCATATTCTTTGTTATTAATTTACATTTCTGATAAAATTTGCCCTATAGAATTTAAGCTATAGCCAAACATTCCGCAAGCTATTAACATTGTTAATATTGAAAGTAAGTATTCTTTGCTGTTAACTGGAGTTATGTCACCATAACCTACAGTAATCATAGTAACAGTGGTAAAATAATAAGCTCTGAGATATTCTTCATAGAAAGCTAAATTGTGAGTGCCTTTTAATTTATCTAGCCAAGTATATGTGCAATTGTCATTATTATAATTGTTATCTTAACTTTGTTAAGCACATAAAATAGATTCTTCACTTTGATTCAATTTACCAACTACTAGCCATATACAAGCAAATAAATGGCAAACGATAAATAAATTAAAGAATATTTGCATTAAATTAATAAAACCTCTGTTTATTTTTCTCAAATAAAATCTGTCATAAATCCTATTCTTGAATGAATTTTATTTTAAAACTTTGAATATTGCCACAATAAATAAGAAAACATTCACTTTATAATTTTAAATGAATACTATTTAACTCCTCTAAGAAGCTACAATAATCCATAGGATTATGACAAAGAATATGTTTAAAAGACCGTTTTTTGAAAAATATTCAAGCAAAATAAGACTTCTTGAGTTTAGAAGATTTCCTTTTCTGTAAGAGACTGTATTCAAATTAATAAAGATATCTAAAGTAGTTATTGTAACAAGAAATATGTCCAAGTCTTACAAATAAAAAATAGAGCTAAATTAAATGTTGTAGATAAAGTGTAAAGGCAGAAAAAAGAAAAATAAAATAGTAATTATCATATTAAATATATCCCATACAAATTTCCATATAGATTGAGGCTGAAACAATGGAATTACTGGAAAGCTTTTTATCATTTTTTTAGTGACCAAATAAGTTTTTGCTTATTCTAATATCCATCGAATAGTTTTTTGGATCAAATTATAATCATAGAATTCAAAATCTTCTTTTTCTTGCTTTTCATAATTAATTGTTTTGTCTCTTAGATAAAAGAAGTTCTGTCTTTAAAGTATTGCGAGTCTCTTCGATTCAACATTAGACGCAATTCTATATGCATAGCTTTTCATTTTCATAATAATATGGAAGAAATTAGAATTTTTTAACTTCTTTTAATTGAATTGTTTTTCATTTTCTGTTGGTTTTCTTGATACTTTTTTCTTAGATACAAATTGAGATGTCATAGTTTGTTTCTATTTCTTGCATTATTATTCATTAAATTTTGAGCTTAATTAAGATTAATTTTGCATTGAAAAAGATAATTTGCTATCATCTTAAATAATTTCGTTTTCTTTCTAGTTTAACTATTTGCTATTATTTCCGCTAAGCTAAATTGATTTTGAGATATCTTGTTAGGCTTCTGTTATCTGTTTGCTTTGAGATGAAACTGGTTTATGAATCTAGTTCTTTTCAATTTATTCAAATTCATTCTTTTCGCAGGAATTATCCAATCGATTATGCTAACCATTAGCTCTAAATGAAGGATGAATGCTTGTAATATTTAATTACATTTAACTATTATTTAAATTCTATTCTTATTCTATGTGAGATTTACTTTCTTAATCTAATTCGTATTAATTTTATAAAGATTTTTTATCATTTTAAACAGAGATATTCAAAGAATACAACATTTGAGATGATTATTCCTACTTTGAATAATCATCGTTCTTGTCTGATTAAGTTTAATTTTAAGCATAAAATATAGAAGTCGCTTTTTAGTTTTCAGCATTATCATTTTATTAACTTTCATTTTGATATTTTAGTCTCTTTTTTCCATCGAATTGTTGAACTATGCTTGCCATCTTATCACTAAGAGTAGCCTCTTACTATTATATTTATATTGATGTTGTGTCCTAAAAAGATGATCGATTAGTATTTATAGATATGTTTTTTGCTCGACTCTCGTCTTCTGTTAAAGATTTTTCAACCAATCTTGAATGGAAAATCTCTACCATTTCATTGTGCATTTTTTAAGTTTTTTCAAAATTTAATCTTTAAATGTTTAACTTCATCTTTCTTTAAACAAACAAACAAATAAACAAACAAATTAATTGATTAATTAAGTAAGTAACTAAAAGATTAATGTTTTCTTAATTCTTTTTTGAGATAGTACTTTTTAATTAAGTTAAACCAATTACAAGCTTAAACTAATTAGTATATTAAGTTATATTAGATCTTTAGCAAAAAAAATACATTTAGAAAAATATTTGATTAGATATTGTTAAATTAAACAAAAATATGTCAAAATGCATTAAAAATGATGAAAAAATATATTTCATTAAATTGTAAAAACTGGTTTTGTTTTTACTTGTGCTTATCAAAGAGGCAGAAATTTGAGTATTTAATGTTAATTAACATTAACTTTTTTTGTAATATATGAGTGTAACTAAGTTTTATTAATTAAAAAAAATATGACCAGTAAGCAAGTGTAGTAAATAATCACACTTTTTTCTAATTTTACAACATTATATAAAAATTAAAGATAAAAATTATTCTTTGTAGTATTGAAAGAAAAATATTTTGAAATAATTTAAATTATAACAAAAATATTAAGATTTAATGATAAAATATTTGATAAATTTTAAGTTGCCTGGTATTGAATATAATTTAGTTAAAAATTAAGCATTTTTTGCTTTTAAATAAAAATATATTTACTAAAAAAATAAATAGTCAATTTTGATGAATTTTTTTAATTATTATTCCTAAATACTTGATAAAATTTCTATTTAATAATTTAAATATATAGAGTAAAATACCATTTCTATTTACAATAAGTGAAATTTCATGTTTTCATTTAATTAAAATAATTTATATTTAAAAAATTTATTTTGAAATATGGTTGGTTGGTTGGTGTTGTCAAAATAATACTTTAGTTAATAAATAAATATCAATTTTTTAGTTAATGATCATAAATTTATTATGAATATATATTTGTCTACTAAATATAAAAAGAATACTTAATAATTATTCTTAAATACAAGCAAAATCATCAGATTATAAAGAAATAAATAATCTTTTCAAAAGTATTAATTTAATTCATTGTTTTGAAATTCAATTCAATAAATTTAAAGCTTAACTAATCTTTTAGCTTTCAAGTTTTTTTACTTTAGCTTCTTAATAGCAGGAGAAACTCTAAGTTGCCTATTAAAAAAAAATTATTATTAATAAAATATAATTTAGAAAATAAATAACTATTATTTTAATTTAATAATAATAACAATAAATAAATAAATAAATAAATAAATAAAAGTAATTTACCCAAAGCTAAGTGTCAAATTTGATAACTTACTGCACTTTGCTAAAGAGCCAAAAATAGAAACATTTGCAAAATCAATATTATTATCACTTTTAAATAATTAAAAAATGTTACAATTAACAAAGGATTTCTAGAAGAAAGAAATAAAGCATTTTTAAAAATTATTTTAGGTGAAAAATTAAACAAAAAATAGAAAAAAAGTAAATTATTTTTTTAAACTTAATATTTTAACAATATAAAATTATTAAATTGGTAAGTAGGTAGGATATGTTAATTAATTAATATTTACTTTAGAATAAGTACCAAATTTGATAGATGATTGCATTTTGCCAAAGCAGAGCATAGTTCATTAATGTTTTTTAAACAACCAATATCATTACCACTTTTTATATAATAAAATTTTTATTTAATTTTTGAAAAGAAAGTAAATGAATAATTAATATTAAAATAAATCAATAAACATTAAATAATAAACAAAAGCAAGTAAATATTTTAATTTTATAAAAAAATAGATTTTATTTTAACATCTATCATATCATATAAATTTTTTAAAGCTTTTTGTTGAATAAAAGATAATTTGTTTGTATGTCTAATTAATTAATTACCTTAAATGAATTGTTAAAGTGTGGAGATTACTCATTTTTCCAAATTCACTCCAAGCACACTAGTAGAGAATGTTATTTCTACTAAAAATTTTAAATATAATTCATTAAAAAATTTATTGAATAAATAAAACAAGAAATAAATAAATAAATATTATGTAAAAAAACCATCAAAAACACCTTTGAACGATTAATAAGAAATTTTAATAATTTTTATTGAATCTTAAAAATTGTTTTGAAAGAACCCATTATTTATTTATATATCTAAAAATAAAAATATAGTTTTTTACAATAGGTAAATTATCAATTTAGAAAGTTTAGAACAATTTGCTAATCCAGTAAGTATTTCTGAAGCTCCTTCTTAGCCAATTTAATTATCACTTTTAATATTATTAAAAAATATGCTACAAATTAAAAATAACAAACAAAGAAAGAAATAATTTTTTTTAAAATAAAATAAAATTTAAATAAACATTCAATTTTTATTATTTTTTATTTGATTATTAAAAAATGGAATTATTAATAAGTTTTCCTTCCACTTCACTACGATACTTTGATGAGATATTTAATAAATTTACCCTAAACCAAGGATTAAACTTTATAGCTTAGCTAATTTTGCTAACGAAGAACCTAATTTTGAAGCACCGTCTTTAAAAATATTATTTTAGCTATTAAATTAATAAATTATTATAAAATTGTTAGATTTAAACAAACAAACAAAAGTATTTTAAATTAAATATTTAAAAAGAAAAAATTCAATTTTATTAAAAACTAGATTAAATATTTTTGAAGTTGCTTTTTGCAATATTTAAAATTAGATTAAAAAAGACAGACACTTTTTTTTTTAGTTAAATTTTAACGAATGCTTTAAGAATATTTTGTATAATGAGATTGATTACCCAAGATAAAGGGACAAATCTGAGATATTTGTGCATTAAGCTAATCCAGAACTTAGTTCCTAAACACCATAATCTCCAATATTACAATTACTTTTAATGAAAATAAGTATTTGTTAACAATAAGAAGAAACAAACAAACAAGTATTTATCAAAACGCTAAAAAAAATACAAAGAATTAATTAAAAAAGAAAAAAAAGAAGTATACTTTAAATTAATTGCTAAAGTTGAGAGATTGATACAATTACCAAGTCCTAAACCTAACTATGAAGAACCTTAAAGCTTAATGTTAATACTACTATTTAATGAGAAAAAAAATTTAAGATAAGTTTTAAGAAATAAATAGAAAAATAATTTGAATAAATCAATTTATTAATTAATTATACTTTAGTTTTATTTCTAAGTTTGTGTGGTCATCAAATTTAGAATTCAGGAACTTTTTATATATAATTATAAATATATAGACTATAACTTATACAAAAGCTAAATACTTTTTCCAAAAAGTAAAACTAAGAGCGTTTTTATTACAACATTTTTTTTTTATCAATATCTATTTCTCTGTTTTTTTTAAAGAAGTAATTAAGTATTTTTTTAATTATCAAAACTTCAAACGTCTTCAATTTATAATATTTCTTATTGATTATTAATTAATTGGAATTGGGTTATTATTTTGAATAGAATCTTGCTCAAATATTTTTAAAAACTTAAATTTTAGTGTAAATAAATAAAGTTATTATTTTAAGAAAGCTCCAAAAAATTTTATTTTCTTTAAGTTTGAAATTAAATTTTGAAAAATTTTTTTGAAAATTGAAAACCTTTTGTCAAATTTTTAACGTAAAAAATGAAGACTATATTTTTATAATTTAAATCAAACAA